CAGGACGTGGATGTAGTTTATCGTCTTACCCAGGACGGCCTAAACTCATTGAATTCAAGAGTAGTACTAGTCTGGTGACGGGGTCTTACCAATTTACAATTGGATTAGTTCGATTTATCCGTACATTCTATGCTAAAAAAATTACTTTCTCGCACTTCTGATTTGTGCAACTCCCTTCCGGCTCCATGATTTTCAGCTAACGTTAATTTTCAAAAATTTAAATACAATGGCAGTCGCGTTTTACGCCATCTGTTCTCGCTTCTTAGCAATTATTACTTTTTCCACGTCCAGTAACCCCTTGTATCTCGGTGATTTTGTTGCCTGGCTTAGGTTGAACTCGATACATACATATATATATATATATGGACAATCTCCCCACGGATGAAGAGAAAACTGCAGACACCAGAAATGCAGTGCTACAGAAGGATACTGAGAATTTCATAGACGGAACGAGAAATATAACGAAGAACTCTTAAAAAACATACCAAGAAAAACATACTCAAAAAACATTCTGAAAAGCACATACTCAGAATGATAATAATAATAAAAAAAGACAGCTGAACTTTTTGGGATTACTTAATGAGGAGGGCTTGAAAAACCTAACCCTCAAAGTTAAGCGAGGTGAATATGGCAATAAAGATGAGGCTAAGTAATGGTATGACGATACACTACATCTGCTTCCTGGGTAAGACGATAAACTACATCCGACTGCAAAGCGTTTGATCAGAAGGTTTTGATGAATGTGGAATCACCTTTTAATTGCTGGTGCTCCCGGGTCCACCCTGATCCGGGGTGGTAGCACCTCTCAGGGTCCCAGCTATGGGCAAATAGCTAACCTCCCAAATGTGCCAAAAAACAATAAAAGTATCAAAATAGACTTTAATACCAGCAATACATTTTTGAAAAAAAGATATTACCAGCAATAAAAATCTTGATGAGGCTAAGTAATAGTTTCGTTTTGAAATTCCAAAAATATATCACCTGAAGATGACCGGAGCGTACAACATTCGAAACGTCGTGAATTTAGAAATAAAGACGATGAGAACCGTCCGAATAATATAAATAGTGTAAATAAATAATTTTTTGATATAAATAGTTCGAAAGTGATATTAAAGCTATAAGAAAGTTGGTTGACCCATTACGCATTAGTTTTATCTGATAGCTATTTAAGGCATAGTAATGTCTTAAATAGCTATCAGATAAAACTTCTCAGTTAACGACCATATTGTTAAATTGGAACCCGTTCGTTAAGTGAGGATTTACAGTTTCTAAAAAAACTATTATTATAAAACGAACACCCAATGAATGCTTCAGCGTATAGCGACCGATGCATTGAAATACAACGAACGATAACATTCAAATAATAATTAGAAATACGTTGGAAAATACATTTAAAGATTAGCATTTTAAATTTTTCTAATAATGGTAAGTACTTAACAAAGTGTCAATTTTATATGTGCCATCATTTCTGAATGCATGAATAAACAATTATTTACATAGAATAAAAAAAACGAGCTAATTTCAATTTCACTTTTATAAACTGTTTCGACGAAGAAAACCTCATGTCCCAGATAATCCGACATTTGTTAGAATTGCCTTCATTTTCCAACAGATTTTGCCCTGGGCGAAAAACACTTTCATTTTTTTCAGTCACGATTGGTCTTTCTATATCATCGCATCAATTTATTCCTTGCACATAGAAAGAGAGAAAAGATTGAAGCGGTCTGAAATAATTATTGCATAGTCTGCACTAAATATTTTCCAAATGTATTTCAAATTGTTATAAATGCTCTTTTCCAGTGCCAGACACGAATCTATGACATCGAGAACGAAACGTGAACATCTGATAAAAAATCACGATAAAAAAAAAGCAAGGAATTATTTTTTTCTTTTCAAAGATTTCAAATGGGAGTCATCAAATACGTTTACAGCTAGTTTACACTTAGCGACTTATATTTCGAACGACTGTCAGATTTACAACCAACTGTAAAATGTCTTCAGAACGTAAACGATCAAGGCCCTCCACATCTTCCCCGTCCCTTGTAACTCTAAATAACTTTTGTCTTTTTGTTATTTCTCCCCAACCCTTTTTTGTCATCCAAGTCCATCCAGTATGTTTCCTCTGTACCTCTTTCCCTCTACTTGTCCTGTGAGTATCAGATTTTCCAAGCCCTCTTTCCTCATCACGTGCCCTAAATTTCAGTTACAACTCCAACTATAAGTTCCCTTTTTGTTTCCATTTTCTCCAAAACCTCAACGTTACTCATATGTTCGCCTCATGGTATCCTCAGCATCTTTCTGTAGAACCGCATTTTTTTGCTTCTAGTCTCTTTATCTTTGAGGAGAATGTCCAGCATTCACTTCCATACAGGGGTACAGATATTAAATAACATTCAGTACTCTTTTCTTTATTTCTAACGAAATTTTTTTAAAACTTTTCATCCCAAGCTAGGCGGGAGTGCCACTAGCACGTAAGGGGTTACAGAAAGTGCGAGCAAGAGTAAAAATGCGTGATAGAGGAAAGGATGAAGAGATGAAGGCATATGTCTATTGACATTGCATTTGAATAGTTGAAGATTATAGCAATTTTCGACGGATCTGCACCAAATTTTACATGCCCATGCTCCAAGTTAGCGGGAAAGGCCAAGACCGACTTTGCATTTCCCAACTCCCATCGATAGTGGAAATAATCGATTTTTTCATGCTTCTACGGCAGTTTTCATGTAGTTTGCGGTCATTTTGTACTGGCCAGAGTGAGAGCCTATAGCAGGCTGCCACGAATAGGCAGGAAGATTCTATTGGCCAGCGTGAGAGCCAACAGCTGACTGACACGAATGTTAACTAGCATGCAAAAAAATCAATAGCTGCATTCGTCACAAGGGGGAAAAATTTAAATCTGCATGGCACTTTACTCCAATTGGCTCATTCGCTTGCTTAAATTCAACGTTGATTCTGATTCCGCAGAACTGGGTTGGATGTGAAAAAGTATTTGTTGTTAACATTCTTTTTTCATTCGGTTTTTTCAGTTACGAGTCCTTTTTTAAAGCTGATCGTTTTGTGTTCATTTTGTTTAGTTCTTTTTTCGTAACAGATTTAATGTTTAGTATAGAGCTTAGAAAAAATTCTTAGTGTAAGGCATGTAGCAACATCAGCATGGCAAAGGGCACTCCTTTAAAGGCAAGGACGGGCAAAAATATTTTAAGTCAAGTGATAGAGATTGTTGTATGAGTCGTATGATTTTTGAATCAAGCACGGGCAACGCCGGGCCATGCTGCTAGTTTGTATATATATGTTCAAAAGTGAATTATTATTTATATGATTTACATGCAGTCTATTATCCCATTTTGGCGTTATTGATAGGACAGTGTTTCGGCCGTTGTACTCTCCGACTTTCATCAGGTGTTTGTCGATCAGGCTGACTGATAGGAAATTCCGAAATTAACCCTTTATTTAATCAACAAAGGAGAAGATTCAGTAGGTGCAAACAAACGAAACTGGCGACATAGTAATTGTGAGTTCAATCCCTGGGCCTTGAAGTGAACACTTGGACTCAGCAGAAAAGCGGTGAGCAATAACTGAGCAGTATTAAATATAAGAACTTGACGAGATATCTTCCGGCGTAAGGGTGGATCGTACTGGCTCCAGCACAGTGTTTCGGCAGTTGTTCTTTCTATTATCAGGTGTATGTAAAATCATGTGATCGATAGGGAATTCCAAACTGAATCCTTTATTCAATCAACGAAGGAGAAACTTTATTGGGTGAAAAAAAAATAGGAATTAGCATGCAGGTTATGTTAAATTCTCCAAATATTTCACAAAGAATTGTCCCACGGGACAATAGCCTAGTAGATTACAGCGAATTTGGCGACAGAGTAATTGTGAGTTCAATCCGAAAGCCTTGAAGTGAGCACTTAGACTCAGCAGAAAAGGCGTAAGCAATATCTGAGCAGTACTGAAAATAAAAACTTGAGATATCTTCTGGCGTAAAGGTGGATTGTACTGACTCCGGTAATAAGGGGTTCAGTTCGAAATTCCCTGTATGAATGGCACCTGATAAAAACCGGAGAGCACAATAACAAAGATGAGGACAATAATCCCCTTTTAAATAACATATATAATGGTAACTACTTATTCCAGAAATTCAGACAGAAAAAAAAAAGTAAATTAATTTCATTATTTACATTGTTCGGACTGTTGACACGATCTTTACTATCATGTTCATGACGTTTCGGCCGTTTCACGCTCCGGCCCTCTTCAGGTGATTGTTATTTTGAACTGAACCCTTTATTTCGTTCGGAGTAGATTGTTCTAGTTCCCCCTGCCATGACTCTTCCGAATGTCTCAGTTATCTCCCTTTAACTCGACTAATTTTTTGTTCACCACTGCCGTAGCCAGGTATAGAACATACAATTTGAGGACACATAGCCGTAGCTAGGTATTGAACTCACAACTTGAGGATACATAGCCGCGTAGATAAAAGCGTTGATTCGATCCAGTGGCTCAGAGTTCAGAGTTCTTGCGTCTCTAATTTTTTTTTTCCTCTACTTGCGTGGGTGTGATCGCTTATTGTTCGGTTCGAGCACATGTACGGTGTTTTGAACGGAAGTGCATTTTTTTTTCCCGTGATTCCAGTTTGGGATTGGGTTTCCGTGTCCTTGTAATGGCGACTTTACAGTTTTATACTCGTAACCTCACCGACAAAGCTCTGAAATTTTATTCACTAATTATTTAGCTTCTTTTTTTTTTACTTCTTTCCAAGTAAGAGTAGATAGGTTTGCATACCTGCCCCTTCCATCCCCGCTGTTTTGAACAGGAGTAGAGCTATATCCCTTGTTTCCTGGTTAGGATTGGGTTTCAGGTCTCTGCTTTCAAACGTCCTCGTCTTCTGTCTTGTCTTGTAACGGCATTCACCCGGGGTAGGTTGAGCCGTCTCCAATTGAATTAACCGTATCGCGCGTCAAGGCCATCCACCCCCGTCTATCGGCAGCCGAATCGACAGCATGATCGAGTCATTCGCGATTCAAGCGTCGGACCCCGAAAACGCGAGGACCGGACATGAGTTCCATATCTGCTTTGACCGTTGCGAGCCACGTCTTGAGTTGACTACCTCGGCCCTTCCCTCAACGCGTTTGGCGCCACCAGTTTACGGACGAACTCATCACCAGGCCGCCGCAACACGTGGCCGAACCACCGGAGTCTCCTTCCTTTGTCCGTCTTCAAAAACCTCCTCGCCTGGACTCTGAAAAGTTATTGACCATTTCCATTCTAGAGTTAGCTGTTATTTTTTCAGTATAGCCCCGACTACTTCTTGTCTTTTCTTACGCTAGGGCAACACCACATAGTAACCTTTAACTTAAGTAGATTTTGGGCCTTGAATCTGACGTCTAGAAGGTAGTTTCCGTATTTCGTTTTTCTGTGTCGGATTTTTTCCTGCTGCTATAATATTTCACTGATAGTTAGATTTTGGTTACGCTTCATTCGAACGTCGAAGAGTTCCAAAAAATAAACGACGACCAATAGAAAAAACAATGGCCGTGCTTTCCTTCCCGAGGCCAGTGTAATGATGATAGGAAATATACTAATGATATAGGGATTCATAGTTGTGATAGAAATTATTTTGAACAGAAAATCAACAACCTCTGTTAAGTGTTCCAATAAATAGGACGCGTTTCCAAAACAGAACCAATGATCAGGAATTGGAATGAAAGCAGTGATGGTGCCAACACTGATTCCATCATAAAAAAAATAATGTCAAGATGTGGGAGTAGTAAATACTAAACACTTAAATACCTCATTGTATTGATCAGCTACAACAAATCCAGTATAGGAGATAATAAAACCGAAACTTGAATCGCCCCAAGGGTAGTTTCGTTTAACACGGCAAATCGCTACATGTCATGTCCTTAACACTTTGAGCCTTGACTTCCGCTTTACCGGTGATGGATAAAAATGACGTAATACCCAGTCACCGGTTGAAGGGTGGGTAAACACTTGTAGCTATTCTTATATCTAGCATGAGACATTACATACCAACTATTTGCAAATTTTGACTCAGGAGCTCAGGCAGAAGGGTTTAAATTCTTCAGGAATGCAGAGGCTTAAAGGGGTTAAAAAGACAGAGTCTGATCGAGATGTTAATATTGAGAATAAGCGCGACGCCAAACCCGTTCGGAAATATTTATCTATTCTCAATCGGTTCCTACCTATCTATCTATCTATCTATCTATCTATCTATCTATCTCAGTCTGTTCCTATCTTTCTCAGTCTGTTCCTATCTATCTATCTATCTATCTATCTATCTATCTATCTATCTCAGTCTGTTCCTATCTATCTATCTATCTATCTATCTATCTATCTATCTATCTATCTATCTATCTATCTATCTCAGTTTGTCCCTATCTATCTATCTATTCATTCTATCTATCTATCTATCTATCTATCTCAGTCTGTTCCTATTTCATCTATCTATCTCAGTCTGTTCCTCTATCTATCTATCTATCTATCTATCTATCTCAGTCTGTTCCCATCTATCTATCTATCTATCTATCTATCTATCTATCTATCTATCTATTCCTATCTCATCTATCTATCTATCTATCTATCTATCTATCTATCTATCTCATCTATCTCAGTCTATCTATCCATCTATCTATCTATCTATCTATCTATCCATATCTATCTCAGTCTGTTCCTATCTATCTATCTATCTATCTATCTATCTATCTATCTATCTATCTATCTCAGTCTGTTTCTATCTATCTATCTATCTCTCTATCTATCTCAGTCTGTTCATATCTATCTATCTATCTATCTATCTATCTATCTATCTATCTATCTATCTATCTATCTCAGTCTGTTTCTATCTATCTATCTATCTCTCTATCTATCTCAGTCTGTTCATACCTATCTATCTATCTATCTATCTATCTATCTATCTCAGTCTGTTTCTATCTATCTATCTATCTCTCTATCTATCTCAGTCTGTTCATACCTATCTATCTATCTATTTATCTCAGTCTGTTCATACCTACCTATCTATCTATCTATCTATCTATCTATCTATCTATCTATCTATCTATCTATCTATCTATCTATCTAACCCTGGTCATATCTATCTACATCTTCCTCATGATAACAGCGTTCAGTTTATATCAGTAGCCTTTTGGGCACGTCGGCGTGGTGTAATACTTAGCAAGCTTCCCTCGCTAAAGCAGTTACGACTGAATAGCTAGTTCGATCCTCACTGGGTGCGCCATAGTTTCGACTTTGTGCCGCCTCTAACCTACGCTTAGAATATCATTTAGGATAGCAAGCTTGTCTCGCAAGAACAATTACGACTGAGTAGTGAGTTCGATCCCCACAAGGTGCCCCATACTTTCGGCGTTGAGTCACATCTAAGCTACGCTTGAAAAACTATATTAATACGCTTCAGGAATTTTTTCTCAAATAAGTGACGCACCCTGTGTATCCACTGGAAAATAATATTAATTTGTTTAGAAAATAACGTCTAGTTTTAGAATAAACCTTTTAATCTCGGAAAAAGATGTTATTTATTCTAATCATAATCGTGTCTTCTTTGTTTATTTTATATGAATAACCTTCAGAAATTTGTTCTCAGATACGTGACGCGGCATTTTATTACACTGGAAAATGGTATTAGATTATTGTGGAAATAATGTCCGATTTTGGAATGAAACTTTTAATTCTGTTCTAATATATTCATATATTACTCATTCCGAATGAATTCATATGAATCGCTTCAAGAATTTAACCTAAAAAATTAAATACCCTTCATGAGAAAAGAAGAGATGAGAGTAATTTTTTTTTAGCATTCCTGTTTGGACATATGGATTCTAAAAATCTCTGAGTAGAATAAACCTTTTAATTACATATTCCTAATCATAATAACGTCTTCTTTGTTCATTTTATATCTATCTCCATCAGAAATCTGTTCTCAAATACCTCACGCACCCTGTGTACTCACAGGAAAATAGTATCATGTTGTTGCGGGGAAAACAATGGCCGATTTTAGAATAAACCTTTTGGGTTTTAATCTATTATTATAATAGTTTCACAAAAAATATATTACTCCACCCCAATGATTAATGTGACCGCTTTGTTAATGTTATATCTATCTCTTGCAGAAATCTGTTCACCAATTCATCCCCCCCTCCGTTAACAGCTGTATTATACATGTATTCTCCCAACGTTTCATATTTATTTCTCAGTGGTACCGTCATCTCTGAGCCGTTTTTTCGCATATTTCCAAAGTCGTGTTCCCGCCGCTCAGCACTTTTATAATCTCATGTTACTCTTTTATTAGGCTGTTCGTAGAATAAACTTTTTAATTGCATAAAACTATATCACATATTCCTAATCATAATAACGTCTTCTTTGTTCATTTTATATCAATCTCCAGCAGAAATGTGTTCTCAAATACGTGACGCGCCCTTTTATTACACTGGAAATTGGTATTAAGTCGTTGGGGAAATAATGTCCGATTTTGGAATGAAACTTTGAATTGTTTTCTAGTATATTTTTTATAAGAGTTACACAAAAATACGCATATTACTCATTCCTAATGATTAAATTGACCACACTATTAATTTTATATCAATGTCCTGTAGAAATGTGTTCTCAAATACGTGACTCGCCATTTTATTACACTGGAAATTGGTATTAAGTTGTTGGGGAAATAATGTCCGATTTTGGAATGAAACTTTTAATTATTTTCTGGTATATTTTTATAAGAGTTACACAAAAATACGTATATTACTCATTCCTAATGAATACAGTTTGCTGATTTCATATCAGTCGCTTTAAGAATTTAACTTAAACTATTGAATATCCTTCATGTTGAACCTGAGAAAAGAAGAGATGCGATTCATTACTTTAGCATGAATTCCTACTTGGACATAAGGATTCTAAAAATTTTGCCAATGTTAACAGAGAATGAATGGAAAGAACCACTTGTTATCCAATGTTATAACTCTAGACAATTTCCTGTCATTTGTGGCCCCTTTGTAAAGATTGTCTTTTTGCTATCTCACCTAATCCCTGTTTTGTCAATCATTTACACTACATCGCCAGTTAGATTATGCTCTACTTTCCAAAGTCCTTCTTTCATTTCAATCTGTCCTGTGAGTATCAAATTTTCCAAGCCCACTTTCCTCATTATGTGTCATAGAAATTGTCTTTTTCTGATGTTACGTGTAAATATATGTTTTGTTTCTATTTGATCAAAAATCTCATCATTGCTCACATGTTCAGGTCATCGTATCCTCAGAATCCTTCTGTAGAACTGCATTTCTGTTGCTTCAATTCTTTTTTTTTTATCTGTCATGGAACTGTTCAGTGTTCAATGCCATAATGTAGGTCCAATATTGCTTAAGAGTTCAGCACCCTTTTCTTCATTTCTAACGAAAGTTTGCTGTTTCATAATACTTTGCTTAGCTTTTTGGAGTAATATTACATAACAGTTCAACGTTCAATGTTTCTAACGAAATTTTCTTATTTCGTAATATTTTGCTTAGCTTTGGGAAGTCATATTACATAACAGATAGGCGCTGTTTGTTTCTAACGAAGTTTTTTCTTTTTCTTATTACTTTGCTTAGCTTTTGGAGTGGTATTACATAACATTTCAAGATGTTTGTTTTGAACGAAATTTTCCTGTTTCTTAATATTTTTCTTTGCCTTTGGTGTGATATGACATAACAGTTCAGCGATATTTTCCTTTTTCTTAATACTTTGCTTAGTTTTTGGAGTAATCTTACATCACAGTTTAGAGCTCTTTATTTCTAACAAAATTTTCTGGTTTCTTAATACTTTGCTTAGCTTTTGAAGTGATGTTCCATAACAATTCTGTACTCATTGTTTCTAACGAAATTTTCTTTTTTCTTAATACTTTGCTTAGTTTTGGGAAATCACCTTACACAACAGTTTAGCGCTCTCTGTTTCTCACGAAATTTTCATGTTTCTTAATACTTTGCTTAGCTTTGTGAAGTCATATTTCTCTCTCTCTCTCTCTCTCTCTCTCTCTCTCAATGGCCCTTCGAATTTCTGTTGCTTCAATTCTTTTTTTCATCTGTGATGAGACTGGTCAGTATTGAATGCCATATTGTAGGTCCAATATTGCTTAAGAGTTCAGCACCCTTTTCTTCATTTGTAACGAAATTTTCCTGTTTCTTAATACTTTGCTCAGCTGTTGGAGTAATATTACATAACAGTTCAACGCTCAATGTTTCTAACGAAATTTTCTTGTTTCTTAATATTTTGCTTAGCTTTTGGATGTGATATTACATAACAGTTCAGCACTCTTTGTTTCTGACGAATTTCGAGGCCCTTCGAATTTCGCGGTCACATTTTCCGTCCTCTGTTAAGACACATATCGAAATTTAGATTTTAAAATTTTTGTTCTTTAATTTTCTTATCTCCAATTTGTAATTCGTTTCTTAGACTGTTTCTAATGCTGACAACAATGTATTCTGTCTTCGCACAATTCATGTTTAGTCCATTCTTACCGATTTTTTTTTTTTTTTTTTACTAACTTTTATGGGAGTTAAGTTTCTTTTCTTTGTTTTCTATAAACACTTTGACCGCTGCCCATTTAATGTTCTTCAAATTGTCGCTTCCTATAATGAAACCTGCCAGGACTTTTCAAAATAAATAAGAAAAAAAAACCGAGAGAACGTTAAATGCCTAATCATAAGTCATGACAATTAACACCAGTCGAAGAAGTGATGAGAGATTTGAAGCATTTCGGGTCGTGTATTTTCATTTTGTTATATATGTGATGACTTATCACGTGACGCCCACTGGGTCACCACAAATTTTTCATTGCCTGAGTCAATTTACCTATTCCTAGACTATCGCAGATCTATCTATCTACCCAGGTCGGGTTCTATATAGTTGTCTGTGAATGTTTGTTTCTATCTATCTATCTATCTATCTATCTATCTATTGCTGATTTTATCTGTTTGTCTATTTATCTTTGTCTGTTTCTATCTATCTATCTATCTATCTATCTATCTATCTCCGTCTGTTTGTTTTTTCTTTCTATCTATTTATCTCAGTCTGTTAATATCTATCTATCTATCTATCTATCTATCTATCTATCTATCTATCTATCCCCGTCTGTTTGTTTTTTCTTTCTATCTATCTCCGTCTGTTTGTTTTTCTATCTATCTATCTATCTATCTATCTATCTATCTATCTATCTCCGTCTGTTTGTTTTTTTTCTTTCTATCTCCGTCTGTAAATATCTATCTATCTATCTATCTATCTATCTATTGCTGTTTTTATCTGTTTGTCTATTTATCTTTGTCTGTTTCTATCTATCTATCTATCTATCTATCTATCTATCTATCTATCTATCTTTGTGATATTATGACATAAACCAAGATGAGAATACTGGTCTGAATATTGAAGCATATAATAATGCTAATTTCTCATCTCAAGAATTCCGACTAAAATGATAATTCCTCATTCGACTTAATCATAATTGGCGAACCTCGTTAATTTGAAAGAAACATTTGCCATGATCTGCAACCTTTTGCTAAATATCATTTTTATGTAAAGCATTATATATTCACAAAATTCAAGTTAGCCCGCCTCAAAAACAATAACAGTGAATTCCTAATCACTAAACTAACAATTTCCTGCGAGAATAACTTTATTTTTTCGACCCCTTCAGTAGATGCCCGTGAATATATTTGCCAAAGTTAGCATAATCTAAAGATGAGTCCAAAATGCAAATTACAAAATCGAACAATTCAAAGAATTTAAATATCTGGTAAGTGTTCTAATAAAAAGAAGGAAAGGGCGACAGTGAGATCCGAAAACGTATTAGAATGGCCAAAGATGCCTTCCAAAAGCTAAGTAGAGTATGAAGAGACAGGAAATATTTCGTTAAAAACGAAGAACAGGTTATTTAACTATTACGTGATATCTGTCCTCCTGTTTGGCAGTAAATTCGGAAGATAAAGAAGAGACTTGAAGCAACAGAAATGTGGTTCTACAGAAAGATGCTGAGGATACCATGGACCAAACATTTGAGCAACATTGATGTTTTAGAGAAGATGTTTAAGAACAAGGAAAATTATACTTAACATCAGAAAGTTGAAATTTCTGGGGCACGAGGGAGGAAGGAGGGCTTGGAGAATCTGATACTCACAGGACAGATTGAAGCGATAGAGGAAAACAACGCATATCATACATAGTGAACATGAACAGCGGAACAGGGTTTGGAAGAAATGACAAAAAGAGAAAACAGGGGACAAGAAGATGTGGAGAGCCATAACAGAAGAAAGACACGAGGGAAATATAAAGCCGGATCAGACGAAAAATGAACGACTGTTTGCCACTTTCTTGCCCAACCCACAATTTCCGGCCTCGACCGAATTCAAATTAGTTTGCGCGGCCCTGTGGATGATGAATTCTTTTCCACCATTCAACCACTTTCACAGGGACGAGACGTCTCTAGCTTCTCCCTCTATTTTAATGCTATTTTCGTGGTAGATTTTCGGCCGAACGCCATTCCTTTGTTCCGTATTTCTCTTCATATTCTTCTGTTTAAAAAGTAATTTCCATTCAGGAATCTACTTTCTCTGGACTGTTGTAAATCGGAACTGACTCCCAACAGATTACTTTCTTGATCGCTATAATCTAAAATTTTTCAAGAGTTTTTTTTTTTTATGATATTTTTTTTTTACTTTTTGTAAAATAATTGAAATCCTGTGTCATAATTCGATGAAATTTTGTTGAAGACTAAATGAAAAACGTTTTAATTCATTTTATTTTTTCAACGTATAAAATCGTATATAAGTCTACCAGTAATATGACTTTCAGGAACCAAGCAGAAGATTCTGGAAATTTGTAGAACTCCCTGGAGCCTTCTAGAACTCTATGAAACCTTTTAGAAATTGCTTTTGTTTATTTGTAAGTTTGTATGTTATGCTAGAACTATAAAAGGTTAAATGCCTTAATAATACACGGGTACTATCCGATTTTATTATTAGAATATTGAAAAAATAAATCTTCTGCGATTTTGAAAATTTTCTGAATTTGGGAGGTTTAAGTTAATTCAAATTTAAACTATATATTTGTAAGGTTTAATTTGATATATATTTGTAAGGTATAAGATATATATTTCTAAGTTTTAATTCAAACTATTTATTTGTAAGGTTTTATGTTAATTTAAATTTAAACTATAAATTGTGAAATACTTTAAAAATAAATAAGTACGTTCCAATTACCTCATTAGCAAATTGAAAGAGAAAGCTTCTGAAATACAGTAGAATCCCTCATATCCGGAGTGCCTCATATCCGGAATCCTGCATATCCGGACATAATTTTGATGTGTATATTTGAAATATTTGGGTGATATGTAACTGATCTGAAATTTATGTTTTTCAAGAAATTTACTTATGCTTATTTCACCCTAATGACTTGTATTGGTGCAAAAGATGATGGGAGTTTGAGGAAAGGATGACAACAAGACACATCTGCAACAAGATAGCGACGAGATGCATAGATTGTGATGAAACCTGGACTGAAATTGAAAAAGCTGTAGAAAAGGTTGTCAGTTTTATGGGAAGAAAGCCAGCATAACAAATGCAATAACGCACGAAGAGTTAAAAAGTGTCTTTCGTTTAAAAAGTTTCAAGAACAAAAGCCAAATGAAATGCGGAAAAAATTGTGAATGACATTAGAAGAGAAAGAATCATTAGGCAACAGTAATTAAAAAAACTCCTCGTTACATTATTTGTTTTGCATACATGGCATACTTAATTTAATGAATTTTCATTAACATTACATCATTTATTTCTTTTTTCTTAAAATCAATTCCGTTATATTTCACTCACCATTAGCTTATTTTATTTACTATAAAACATTGTAAACAAATGGTAAACTTGATTTCAATTCTTTTATTTTAATCTAAATATAATCCCTCATATTCGAAGTTTGTAACTAAGACCTCGTATTCGGAAAGCCTTTTTAATCCGGTTATCAGGGATTCTACTGTATTTAGATTTTTTTAGCTTTATTGTGTATATGATAAATTCGAATTTTCAGGTTGGGGGTGACCTTTTTCAGAACTAAAAGAAATAAATGTTTTTTTTTTTTTCATTTCCTTTGAGCAAAAGTTTATGGATTTAATACATGGAAGCAAAGAGTTACATAAAATTCCATAACCTTAGTCTATATATTACAATTCTTGTCGCCATTTTTTTTTTAAAGTATTTCAAGCAAAAGTCTGAGATAGCGTAAATCACTAGCGCTAATAACTCATTTTGAAATCCCTAAACTAAGAATTTGCAAGAAATTTTAAAGGCCTACTCATCGAATTGAACAGGAGAATAAGCTTAGTTACGTGTGGCACAGAAGCGCAATAGCAAGGGACCCGCTGAGGGCTGAATTCACTGAAGTCACGAATTTGTTTTCTCAGGTGTGGGTGGTGGTCTTGTTACACATAACCCTGTAGCAAGCATTTATATCTTTACTAATTGAATTTAGTCTCGTCTCGCATCTGGATACAACAGCGGAGATGCCAATCTCCAACACCTAAAGAATACACGATTCTCCAGCGTCGATAGTGATTTTCCAAGCGTAACCATTACACCACGATGTAGCCCTCAAAAAATGTATGGCTAAGGCCGAAAGTATGGGGGGCACCCAGTGAGATCGAACTCACTACTCAGTCGTAATTGTTCTAGCGAGACAAGCTTTCTAACCATTACACCACGTCGAGGTGCCCTCAAAAGTCTATAGTGATTTTCTAAGCCCGGCTTAGATGTGGCACAAGGCCGAAAGTATGGGGCACCCAGTGAGGATCGAACTCACTACTCAGTCGTAATTGTTCTAGCGAGACAAGCTTTCTAACCATTACACCACGTCGAGGTGCCCTCAAAAGTCTATAGTGATTTTCTAAGCCCGGCTTAGATGTGGGCACAAGGCCGAAAGTATGGGGCACCCAGTGAGGATCGAACTCACTACTCAGTCGTAATTGTTCTAGCGAGACAAGCTTTCTAACCATTACACCACGTCGAGGTGCCCTCAAAAGTCTATAGTGATTTTCTAAGCCCGGCTTAGATGTGGCACAAGGCCGAAAGTATGGGGCACCAGTGAGGGATCGAACTCACTACTCAGTCGTAATTGTTCTAGCAAGGGCAAGCTTTCTAACCATTACACCACGTCGAGTTGCCCTCAAAGTCTATAGTGATTTTCTAAGCCCGGCTTAGATGTTGGCACAAGGCCGAAAGTATGGGGCACCCAGTGAGATCGAACTCACTACTCAGTCGTAATTGTTCTAGCGAGACAAGCTTTCTAACCATTACACCACGTCGAGGTGCCCTCAAAAGTCTATAGTGATTTTCCTAAGCCCGGCTTAGATGTGGCACAAGGCCGAAAGTATGGGGCACCCAGTGAGGATCGAACTCACTACTCAGTCGTAATTGTTCTAGCGAGACAAACTTTCTAACCATTACACCACGTCGAGGTGCCCTCAAAAAGTCTATAGTGATTTTCTAAGCCCGGCCAGATGTGGCACAAGGCCGAGTATGGGGCACCCAGTGAGGATCGAACTCACTACTCAGTCGTAATTGTTCTAGCGAGACAAGCTTTCTAACCATTACACCACGTCGAGGTGCCCTCAAAAGTCTATAGTGATTTTCTAAGCCCGGCTTAGATGTGGCTAAGGCCGAAAGTATGGGGCACCCAGTGAGGATCGAACTCACTACTCAGTCGTAATTGTTCTAGCGAGACAAGCTTTCTAACCATTACACCACGTCGAGGTGCCCTCAAAAGTCTATAGTGATTTTCTAAGCCCGGCTTAGATGTGGCACAAGGCCGAAAGTATGGGGCACCCAGTGACGATCGAACTAAACTATTCAGTCGTAAATGTTCTAGCGAGACAAGCTTGCTAGCCATTACACCGCCTCGAGATACCCTTCCCTAGCGTCGATAAATGCTACGCAACTTTCTGCAAAGATGCTGGAAAAATGGTCAGTTTCCTTTATTGCTCCGGTAAATAAGTGATTTCTTTGAGCTATCCTCTACCATTAAAACAGCCAAATCAGACCGGAAATTAAGTACTGTTGCCATATATGGTCATAAGCTACCAGGTTTTGACTTTCAAATCTCGGTAGAGTCCAAAAGCATTCCTTGTGGGTGATGAATTATTTTCCACCCTACAACCTCTTTCCTCAAAGACAAAATGTCGTAAGTCTCTTACTGCTCTATCGCTACTTCCATGGAAAGTGCTCAGACGAGCTATATTCAGATTGGTTCCGTTAGTTCTAACCTTCAAAGCTAAAACTTGCCATGCTACGCACATTGTAGCAGAGCTCCCGAATTTTCTACTAGAAATTTTGTGATGTC